GGCGTGTACTTATCTGAAATAAATGTTTTTTGGTCACTGACAGGGTACCTAATTCCAAAGGGATGGAAGGTCATGCCTTTATTTAGGAATATTCACCACAATCCTGATTTCTTTGTTGATCCTCAGAAGTTTGATCCTTCCAGATTTGAGGTACGAGTTAATATTATACTTTTAATGGTTGACGTTAAGTGCATATTTAGCCCCTATCTTACAGTCATGATCATAAAATTTATATTTTTTTCTACGTGCTGATTTCAACCACACATTCATACAATAAAATATTCTGCACGTAAACTCAAAATTTTCTCGTACTTTTTAACCACATATTTTCTAAAAATTCACTATTCAAAACTTTAGTTTTGCCTTAGTGCTTGTTTGATACTTTTCAACTTATCAAACTTAAACTTTTAGCTACAAATTGGATCCACAACTTTTTATCAATTTTTTTTGTCAAAAGTTTTGTTAAACAATCCCATGGTACTTAGAACTAAATCTAAGAATCTTTTGTTAGGGCATATGAAAATAGATTAAGTATTAATGCCAAGCAATTAAACTTCATTTTCACCATATATTGACCTAAATAAAAAATTGAGTTCGACTAAAAATTTAATGACCACCATGATTTTAATCCGATGAAAGTATGGTACGAAAAATCTTTTTTTCCTCAAAATATAAAGATTAAAGAGACTTATTAAGGAGAAAAAAATTGTAGGATGAAGTAACGAATATTAATTTATGGTTTCTTGTAGGATGTGGTGAAACCCAATACGTTTATGCCATTTGGCAGTGGAGTACATGCCTGCCTCGGTAACGAACTTGCTAAGCTAGAAATGCTCGTTATGATCCACCATCTAAGTTCTCAGTTCAGGTACTTTATCAAACTACAACAAGTATTTTTGGAAATGCGTTTTTTAGATAAATTAAATCATAAATAACCAATTCTATTTTATACTGCTCGGTTCCTCGTATGTTCAGTTGAATTCACCAAACATGTCATACATGTATTTTATGCACCATATATCACAAGATTCGATTAAAATAATGTAACTTTTTTTTTTCCTCTCAATTTTGTGTTATACTATACAGTTTATCTTACTAACTATGTGACGACGTTGGTGAGTGGTATGTGAAATTAGGTATTATTTGACAATTGTGTTTGTAGGTATGAAGTGGTGGGATCCCAAAGTGGGATTGAACACACGCCATTCCCCATCCCTTTCCAAGGACTCCCTGCCAGATTTTGGAAACAAGAACCAACCAATTAAGTAGGACATACCAAGACAATTGTTCCTTAACCAATTTTCACTTTTCCTTTCTGTTCCCATAATCCAATTTAATATGGAGATGGCTTTTTTTCCTCAAAGTGAATTAATATAAGTTCATAATCAATGAACTAATAATCAATGAAGAATTTAGAATTTATTCAGATATCTCATTGGTTAAATATAGCAAAATTTGTACTATTTTTATTGCAAGGTTGGTATTGAAATTGAAATATTAATGAAACAAAAAGACAATAGATTTGATTCAATCGAATTATCTTGTTTCTTGGCTTTGTTGACTTGAAAAATCGTTTTATTTTCTTGATTGTTATTGAAAATCAATTATTACTTTTTCTCAAGAAAATTTGCTTGATAGAGGTCATATGTCGCGAGAAAATGGAAAATAGTCACTTTTTATTTTCATTAAAATCATGAGTAGAAATTAAGGCTTCGAGCAGTCTTGAGCCACACATTGTGAAATTAATTAAATAAAAAAAAAAAGGAGAGTTTTTATTAATTCCATTCTTTCATTTCAATTCCGACATCTCTGCCCTTATGTTTTTGTTTATGATGTTTGTGATGCCACTGTTAGTTTACTTAATGAAATGTTGAACTATTGCAATGTTTAAAATTTGTTTATCATTTTTTTTATAAACTAGTCGAGTAAAATTCAATCATTTGGTCAAAATGATCGATTTAAGTTCCTAGTTGGTTCTATATTGGAGGAATCGAGTTTGGGAACTTCTAATTTATGTAGAATTAAATTATCACGCAATTTGCATCCGCTTTTCACAAATTTTCCCTCGAGTAATGCAATTCAACATTACTGATATCAAGCACTAATTGAAGAGGCAACTTCATGACATTAAATAATTGATTCAAATAAATGTAATGTCATATGATTCATATAATTAAATCTATTAAATGTGACCATCTAAATCGGCATTTCAGTACAGTTGGTGCTTGACAACATTATTCGATGTGAAATGTGATGTTGGGTGATATTTGTTGATGCCACGTTTTGAAATGTTTCATAAAGTTCTAGTTGTGATGAGAGGCCATATTAGAACCAGATGGTAAGAATATGATTGGTCAAGTGAAGATGGGTTTGGTCCATAAGAGCAATCTCTAAAAGAATACTATTGCTTTTGTCGACTACATTTGACGTTACATTTCACAATACGTAGTGAATTATTTCATTTCCTAACATATTTTAGTGGAATTGTATTTCTTTTTTATGAATGAGAGCTCTCTTAATGAATAATGATATATGACGGGTATTTTAAAATCAGTCTAAATAACAATGTATGATATTAAAAAAAAGGGCTCAATATAGGACCATATTAAATTTAATATTGAACTTATCATGCATGGCTACATAAATTAATTTGAAAACATCAACTAGAATATATAGAATTACCTTTCTTAAAATTTTATTTAACTATGTAAGTCGTCATTACTATAATTTATTTTCAATTTGTGCTATGTTGACATGTTTAACTGTATCAAATTCTCGAAAAATTGGATTAAATGGTCTCAAACCTTTGCTCTTCTTGCATTTCTTGGTCCCAGAACTTTAAACCTTGACAATCATGTCACAAACCTATGTATTTTGGCATAGTTATTCCTTTTAGATGGATTCGGTTTAAAATGGTGGTTAATTTTGTGCGTAGATTGTAATTTTCTTATTTTATTTTTGTCTGAAGAGGCAAATCTGTCATATCAATATCAACTTAAGTAAAAAATAAAAATAAATTTAAAAAGAAAATAGTTTTAAAGAAAAAATTATAATCATATTCTTCTTCCACCCACGCTATATTTCATACATACAAAGACATGGGAACGGGAATTGTGACGAGCAGAGTAATGATTCGCTTGTACAAGCCACTCGTGAAAAATGTCATTTCGATAATAATAAAAATGTTGACGTGCCACGAGCGGCTCAACTTCTCCCACTTCCCATCCCTACATAGACATTTAGAGAGAGAAATACATGTACAAACGTTTACATTTAGAGCAGTAGAAGGATATTTGCATATAACATCCACATTTTCTGGTGGATAAACAAACAGAGCTGGTTAGCTAACATAATGGTTGTCAAATCGTATCTCATTCAGATTAATGCTAAAAAATTTACAGGCTATAATGTTTTATGTAATTTGATCCCGAAACCAAGTAAATCTTCAAAATTTTTACCATAAAATAGTAAGGCAAACCAAAAACTAGGAACCGGAATTGAGAACCGGCAAGATCTGGTTCTTGGTTCTTGAATTGGAACCGTTGGTACCCAAATTGAGCCCTTTTAATAATACTTTGTTCTCACAATTTATAGGCTGAAAAAAATAAATAAATAATAGGGAAAATTTCACATAGAAGATATTAAGTATAGGGCATTTCAAAAATAAGAAAATAAGTATCATATTTCAAAAATCAGAAATTAGCCTAAAAATAAATACAAATATTAATATAATTTAATATGGAAAACAATCCCGAGCAAAGAGCCGTAATATCAGGATTCTCCTAAAAAAAATTAATTCATCTTTCAATCTGATTTCAATAGCCAGAAGATCTGAAAATACATCCAATTACGACCGGCTCTTGCGGAATTGATGGTGAAACCGAATTCTGGTCACAAATTGCAGTCGCGGGTCGTATGAGATCGGCTCAAACAGTCACTGAAAACATTATTCAGGCATGTAATTAAATTGATCAGGTGTGTAATTGCGATTTATTCATTATAATTTGTCGTTTTTTCACGCTAGACAAGCTTCGATTGATCAGAAATATGATTCATTGTAATTGCGAATAACGGACATTGCCGTTCGAAACTGTTGTGACCGTTATGGAAAACATGTGACCCTGGATGCAAGATATAACCTCATGCATTCAGTATGTATGGGTGTTTGTGTCTCGAAATGTGTGAAATGTTTTAATCTGTGTATTATGATACTGATGCTCTTGTTCGAATCTAATCATATGCGACAGACCTATACTTAGTTACTGTGACCGATTATTGCATGTAATTGTAACACATTGAATACATGTGACCTGCATGTATTCAATGTGTGACCATGACATTCAAGATACCACATGCGTTCGCTTTGACCTGTGATCATTTAACAGTATTGTGACCGACATGCAATTAACTGTGACCAGTATACAAAGACTTAAATGTCACATATGACCTATGCAATGATCTGTGACCTCTCGTAAAAAAAATCTGGGAAATAAAACTATGTGACCTGCATGTTTTCAATACGTGACAATGATACTTGAGATTCGATATATGTTTATTGTGACATTTGACCATTAATTTAATTTTGACCCATTTGCAATTAGATTTAACATATATTTGGATGTTAGGCTGATCATGTATTTGCAAATTTTGCAGAAAATGGGGTTAATTCACGTGTGTCTGTTGAATGGATCACAAGTGTCACTGGTTTTAATTGATCGTAGTTGCGGGTATTTGAGGCTTGTCGACACAGTTATGAAAGAGTTTAGCTTTGACCCTGCAAAAGTTGTTGTGACAATGAAGTATGTCTTGAACAGTGATCTGTCTCCAGTAGCAATCAAAAGTGATGAGAACGTCTTGTCTTACATGGTTTTAAAGGATATGAGTCGTGACCCTGCGAAATATCCAATTCACATCGAGGTGACAACTGCGGATATCGAAAAATAGCCTATTGTGCTATCAGTTGATGTTAATCGAACGAGCATGGGTTTTCATTAACAGATATGTCATCAGACATATGTCGAGCAATAATGGATCCATCTAGTGACAATCTTGAGCATGAGGTCACAGTTGTGGCGGTGGCAGATGCTAGGGAGGTAGAGGAAGGAAGAGTCTTCCGTAACAAGGAGATAATGAAATTGAGCTTGTCGTTTTATGCAATCCAGAACATGTTTGAGTACGTGGTTGTTCGGTTCGATAAGAAAGACTATCTTGTAAAATGTACACGTGATGAGTGTAATTGGATATGTAGAGCATCGAAGCTAGCCAAAACAGATATGTTTAAAATCAGACACATTGCAGAAGGTCACATATGTGCTTCAAACATCGTACTCAGTACTCATAGGCAAGTAGCAAAGACGGTTGTGTCAACTTGCATTAAGTATAAGTACACATCATCGCGCACAATATACACACCGAATGATATACGCAACGACATGCTGCATACATACGGAGTATCTTTGAATTATGTCCAAGCTTGGCGATCTCGAGAAGAAACTCTGAAAGTGCTTAGGGGTGATCCAACCGATTCATTCAATAAGATACCAGCCTTTTTTTTTGTGATACAACAAACAAATCCTGGATCAGTGACATGTCTAGAAATTGATGGTCACAATAGGTTTAAATATTACTTCATGGCACTAGGTGCATCTATACGGGGATGGAAACATTGTAGGCCAGTTGTTGTGGTTGATAGCACCTATCTAAATGGACACTATGGTGACACCTTATTCACGGCATGTACACAATATGCAAATAACAGCATTTATGTACTTGCTTTCGGGATTGGGGATAACGAGAATGACAGCTCCTGGACATGGTTTTTTAGACAGTTGAGAAAAGCATATGGGGATAGAGACAGTTTGTGCTTCGTGTCGGATCGTCACAACAGCATCAAAAAGGCGATTGAAAACGTGTATCTGGGAGCATGTCACAGGATATGTTCTTACCATCTACTACAAAATCTAAAATCACGGTACGGGAGATCAGGACAAAACATAACACAAGCATTCAATGCAGCTGTTCGCACCTACACACTATTGGAATATGAATATTACATGCAACAACTTGGGTCGATTAATCAGAAGATAAGGGGTTATCTGGTACTATACTATATGTTGTCCTATGATGATATTCACATAAATACGTTTAACATGGTACTGTACGCTATATGATACACATTTCCATGGTTTTGTTTTGTAGGACAAAGTTGGACCTGAGAGATGGTCACGTATCCACATGCCTTCAAACCGGTATTCTACAATGACATCGAATATTGTGGAGTCGATTAATGCGGTCACAAAGTCTGCCAAGAACTACCCTATTCTAGCTTTGTTGGAGTCATTGAGACAAATTCTACAATCTTGGTTCTGTAGACACAAGGAGGATGCCCAAGGCACTTTTACAACCTTGTCAATCAAGTATGAGAAGAAGATGAGGGAAATGAGTACAGATATAAGAAACTTGAGGGTAAGCTTGATTACTGTAACCTAATCTATAATCTGTGACTTACCGGATCTGATCTGTGACATGTGCTGTGACTTCTGCTGTGATCTGTACCGTTGTGTTTCAGTAATATTTGTACAATATTATATAGAACTACATGACTTGCAATTTCGTCTGTGTCCTACTTTTTAATTACGTGACTTGTTATGCCTATAACTTGAGTCTATATCTGTAGGTTTCACCCATTAATCAGGCAATGTTCTCAGTTAGCGGTGAAAGTTCCTCCTTCGTTGTTGATATAGAAAATCGGACATGCATATGTAGGATGCTTCAAGTTGATCAACTACCTTGTCCACATGCTTTGGCTGTGTTTGCGAGTATGAAGATGGATCCATATGAATACTGCTCCTACTACTACACAAGTGAAGCGTTCAGAAATACATACCAAGAAACCATTTTTTCGGTAGGAAATCCAGCTGAATGGACAGTGCCAAATGATGTCCATGACATAGTTGTAATTGCACCTAATCAAAAGCGAAGTTGTGGAAGGCCTACTGAGAAGAGATTCAGAGCAGCGTACGAGGAAAACATAACCGTCAAATGTGGTCGGTGTGGTGAAAGTGGTCACAATCGTAGAACATGCAGCAGCTTAGTTCCGTTGAGTCAAAGCAACAAGAATAAAGAGAGGAGGATGATGAAGGACTGGAAATGCACATTGATAAAATTTTTATAATTCCATTGTTTTTTTTATTCATTAATTTTTTGTAAACGTAGGATGCAAAACATTGGATGACACAAATTAATGATCTGTGATCATTCTACAATAACATGTGACTAGTATGCGTTAACTATGATCATTATTAATGACATGTGATCAGAATGCAGTGACTTGTGACCAATATAAATGATCTGTGACCAGAATTCAGTGACCAGTGACCCCTGTGCAATCAACTGTGAATATATGAAATCATCTGTGACTAGATGTCATTGAGCTGTGACCAATATGCAGAAATCTGTGACCATTTATTGTGACCAACAAAAGATGACCAGTGACATATTGCAAAAACTCTGCAAAATGGAAGTGGTTCAGCTGTGACAAATGTATGAAATGATCTGTAACAAATCTTCAATGACCTGTGACCAGATTGGATTGACTTTTAATAATTCTTTATGACCTGTGACCAATATACTGTGACCTGTGACCAGGGTGCAGTGACCTGTGACAATGGGAATTGACCTGTGACCAAATTACACAAACCAGTGACCTGTGATAATCCTAGAAACTAGTGACCTGTGATAATCCTAAAAATTGCAGGTAACCTGTGACCTGTGACAATGGGAATTGACCTGTGACCAAATTACACAAACCAGTGACCTTGGAACTGCAGATAATCCTAGAAACTGGTGACCTGTGATAATCCTAAAAATTGCAGGTAACCTGTGACCTGTGACCTGTGACCAGGTTGCAGTGACCTGTGACAATGGGAATTGACCTGTGACCAAATTACACAAACCAGTGACCTTGGAACTGCAGATAATCCTAGAAACTGGTGACATGTGATAATCCGAATAACTGCAGGTAACCATTAAATTTTGAGACTTTGCCCTCGATACGGTGTCAATATAGCAAAATATGATATATAGTGAAACTTGTAGTAAAGTCCCCAAACATTAATGAACTTTTTGATATAAACAGACAAAAGTAATAACTGCGTTGTCATTACAAACGAATTTCCAAAACATTGAGACAATGTTTCCTGCTATTACAACATGTTACTTCTAAATTGCACTATCACTCTAAAACAATGCTTTCCCCACCAGTAGGCTGCACCGGCTTTCTAGTCTTCCCGATTTCACGATGTTTGAACAACAGTGAAGCTACATCCAACCGAGCTCTCCCCGCATCAAACTTCATTGGCATGGATCCTATATCGTCATGTAGCATGTACTCCGCGTACTTGACCACGTAAATGCCACAATCATGTCTAAGAACACAAAAAACAAAATATTAGCTATGAAATCAAGCAAGTTATAATATGTTTAACTGTTAGTGGAGGGAAAAAAACTTGCCCATTTTTCTGTTGGGGAAGAGAGAAATCAAAATCCACATTCAACTCCATGGAATCTTTTTTCCATATTCCAACAGATTTCATAAGATGCGGAAGCATGCTGACAAAGGGATCAATTCCAGTACGAACTTTGATATCATTGTATGTCTTCCTAGACGAATTCAATAAACGCAACGTATGTGCCTTTATGTCCAACACTCCAAGCATCCAATGTGCTTTGTTGGTAGGCAGAAGTGGGATAAACACAAGGTCAACTTCAGCCCATGGAGTGCTCAATGGAATTCGCGCACCGGTAATATCGTTAATCAGTTTATCATCCGTGACAAGAACATTTGCATCATCCTTGAAATTAGGATACATGTGCTTTAGGTTGGCCTGGAACAACGAGTCCGTTGTGGTAGCTACAAACTTGAAATCTCTTGCACTTCTTGCCAGTTGACGTATATAATAGAAGCACACGTCCATATGCTATAGAGATGAAAGTACAATAAACAATTTAGAAACCATGTATACACCAGAAAACACGATGCAATAAGCTGTTAATTTGATGTGTGACTCGGCTAGAATGTGATCACTACAATCTGTAGTTAGTGACCACTCCATAACTGAACCGGACGTAATAAAGACATGTGTGCTATACTGATGCAACTGCAGATATGTGTTCTCCTGTGCAGCGCGGATTGTGACCTACTGTTCGTGTGATTTGTGACCCAGGCATCAGCTGTGACCTACTGTTCGCGTGATCTGTGACCTACTGCTCGTGTGATCTGTGACCCATGCTCTGTGTGACTAGTATACAAAAAACTGTGACTAATGTGACATGTACTGTAACATACCCTTTAGAACTGTTACTTTTGTGTAGTGACTTACCGAACTAGTCAACGACACCTCCCTAGATACAAATTCGTACCACCGTGTCTTGTTTCCCGCCAAGTACTGACCGATTGAAAAAGGTGGACGGATGACATCATCTTTATCATTGAACTTCTTCCTGCAAATGAGAAGAACGGATCATTATTTGGAACATTGTGAAAATAGGACAACAATTTCGTACTTGTTATGCGGTTTGTATCCTCTTTGAAACCAATTTTGAAAGTCAGCAACATCTGCATCTTGTACATTCTGATTGTAGTGTTCAAAGACCACTACATTTCCTGAAAATTTCATTTGTTTCATTTTGTCGGCAACATAAGGGGACTGAAGGGCTTTAGCTGGCTTTGGAGCCCTCTTCACCGGCAATCCAGAACTTGGTGCAGCCTCAGGTGAGTGCTGCGTAATAAAATGTGTTCTTTAATATGTGACATGCATTAATCACCAAAAATACATCGATGTTTGGATACCTCTTGCTGAAAACATTCCGTGTCCTTCAAAACATCGGCTATGACCGATTCAACTTGCCTGTCAACGTCCTTTGATGCTTTTGCAACAATCTGGCTTGGTTGTGTGAATCCAAGACCAAGATCAAAAGATGGAGGTTCAATAGAACATGGGAATTCAACTGCACACACAAAATCAACCTTTGCCTTGCCTTTCGAATCAACACTTCGTTCGACTTTTGCAGCCTGAAAATTAGAACAAAAATGCATTTGATGAGAAGTGTATATCAAACGGTTTATGGTAAACAGACAAGTAAGAGGCAGTCACAGTTGGGGTACTTACTTCGCATGTTGGTCCAGATCCTACAACAATTTCTGGTCCTGCGTTCTCTCTGAATTTTTTCATAATTTCTTCCATTGAACTAGTATCAATTTAGTCACAGAATCAGACATACACTGCATGTGTGCTTTGATGTCCAACATGTCAGTACGAATTTCACCTTGCATACGAACTAGCAGATTCAGTTTCCTTTGCTGATCAGACTTTAAAGAAGACACCTGTAACTGCATTGACTTGAGCTGTTTGCTTAGCAACCGATTCTCAGAATTAAGATCAGATATCTGCCCTTTGAAATAATTATTCAATTCATCGACAACCTGCATCACATGAATACCTATAATCAGTAAAATTATGATGATGAAATATGACATTGATCTGTGATCAGCAGTGACATGTGTATTGGTATGTGACCCAATCACCGAAACCTGTGACCTGAATTTTTATGTGACCAAATGGACTTGTTACATGATAGATGAAATTGGAAGAGCTTACATTTTTTGATGGCATATCCTCTGAATCAGTGGTGCCATCTGACTTAAACTCCCCAGTTGGAGAATCTTCATGGATTGATGTCCCCTTCCAACTGGGTGGTGCGTCAACAAAGTCATTATCATCAATGGGGAGATCAGAGTGTCCCAATCGTCCATCGGTTATCAAAAGCATGGGAGTAGATTGTTTCATTCCTGGATTACTTGGTTTTGAACTAGTCCCAGCACGATGATCTGATCGGTGTATGCTACCACCCTTTCTCTTTTCCCCATGTGACCGATTGGGTAGGATAGGTTTCTCATACTGCACCTGACTCATGTATGGCATTGCCATTTCAGCTGGTGGGGGGTCCAGGTCACATATTACCAACTGCCATTCATATCACAACAAAAAGTGCAATGTCAACAACCAAAAATTATGTATGAACAAACAGATATAGCTTTGCACATCACACATATTCAATTTGTTTGCATTAATTGTGATATAACAAGGGCAAATGGCGCCGAGAAAATGTCAGTGACCTAGTATGAAATGATCTGTGACATAATGAGTAAATCTGTGACTTCGAGAATGCAATTTGTGATTTGACGAAAATATATTTGTGACCTAAGAAATATGATCTGGAACATGAGAAAAATGTGCCAGTTTAATATTTTGAAACCAGAACTGCTGCATCGGTGGTCACTTACGTCGGGATTGGAGAAGCATTCAGGTCCCTCAAACTTCGCAGCCGAAGGGTGATCATCAGCCGTCCAGTTCATTATCCTGGGGTACACTCTCGAAATCCCTCTCGCAGTGTATCCATCGAGACTGGGTATTGTCTCGTAAATCCACACTTGAAAGGCTACAAGCAACCCTCTGAGTCTGTAATGTGTTGATCTCTTACTCAACCCCTCCCTCAATGAATTTACTAGTTTGTCAAACAGCGACTTACCCCATGGAAACACATTCATCGCACTAAAATCTTCAACTAGTATAAATAAGAAGTGCTCCACAGCCTTCTTGTAGTCTCTCGGATGTAGATAAGATGTTATGAAATACAATGCACCTAGCATGGCAACATCCTCATCCGGAATGTCAGTAGAACCAAAAAATGCGTCCTTGATATTTTCATGAGTAACATTTTTCAACCTTGAAAAATACAAATTTTTTAATCGTGATGGAGTATTTTCCATCCTACTTGTGTCATCATCGCCGACATATCTCAAACCAGTCACCAAACAAAATTCTGAAATTGAGAACCGCACGAATCTCCCAGCTATGTTGAACCACAACTCACTCTTGTTAGGTTGTTGCACTTGTCTCAGAAGAAAATAGTGTATCAGCTGCGATTGGATAACAATTTCCTCGCATTGCAGGAAGTGAGCAAAACACGTATTCTGAAGGATTCGGCGTTGGGCTTCATTGAGATTGTTTTTGAAGTTCGACACCACACCTTTGACGGGGGTAATTGTAATTTTACCCGGAAACCAACTCTTCTCGGGTATAATGTATCTCCACGCCTGCAACAACGATCACA